CATCGTCGTTGTTGTCGTCTTTCTTCTTGTCCTAGAACTCCTTAGCCAAGCTAAGGCAGTCCTTCATCTTGTGCTTGCTGTTCTTATGGAGAGGGCACGGTCTTCAAGGATCTTCTTGTATTGCTCATCATAGTTGCGCTTGGCGCGAGGTTTGTCAATGGCAGCGACGATGTGGTCTGGTCGACGACGACGATATTGTTCGGTTCTGGATCCTTCCGGCCGATCACGACCACTGTCCTAACGGTGGCCGCGGTCGTCGTAGCGGCGGTCACTATGGCGTCGATCGTCGGGGCGCTCGTCACTACGGTGAGTTGGGCGGTGAGTGCCTGCATCCTCGTTGAAGCGTACTTCGGCCTCTTCGGTGTCGGCGTACTGATCGACGATCGTGATCATCTCGCCAATCCCCTTTGGTGGCTTGCAATTAAACTTGGAGCGGAGGTCGCGGTGATGGAGTCTTCGGACGAAGGTGGTGATGACCTCTGCTTCCGTGATGTTGGGAATATAATTCCTCATCTTGGAAAAACATCTGATGTAGCTACGGAGGAGCTCGAACGGTTTCTGGTAGATGCGATTCAGATCATGCTTGGTGCCCGGCCGAGTACACGTAGCCATGTAGTTGTCGGTGAAGACCTTCTTCAGCTCTTCCTAGGATCCGATGGAGTCCGAGGTGAGGCTTGTGAACTAGTTCACCGTAGTTGGCGTGACCAAGACGGGAAGATAGTTCGCCATGACACTGGTATCTCCCCCGGCGGCGCGCACAGCAGTGGCATAAGCTTGTAGCCACTGTATGGGGTTCATCCGTCCCTTGTAGGGTTCAACCTCGGTGATTTTGAAACCACGGGGCCTCTAGAGTGTTTGGAGTGCCCTTGTGAATGCTCGGGGCCCTTCGGGATCGTCACCGTCGTGATCGACGGTGTTGACGGCGTTGAGTGGCTGGAGGGCTATGTCCGGATTACTGAACTCTTGCTCGTATTCTTGACGCTAGTGTACTTCTTCTTCATGGTGAGAGAAACAACTCCCGTCGATATGACATCGCGTGTCTCAGAGATTGTTGACTTGCGCACGGACATCTTGGTCGACTTCTTGGTCCTATTGACGAGGGTAGTCGATGCGGTTCCCCCTAGCTCCCCCCTGGAGGGGTTGTCCGTCATCACGGTGCTAGTCGGTGAAACGGCTTTTGCTGGGGCGGCGATTAGATCTTGGCAGGCGGATCAGCAAATCGAGCTTGTCGAGTAAGAAGCTCTCTGATCCTGGCGGATCTCGTTGACCTGGCAGTGCGCCGCTTTAAGCATGGCGGCGACCTTGGCAACCTCTGGTGTTTGCTCGAGCCGGGCGAGCTCATCAGCGGCCACGACCAAGTTGGCACTTGGGGTCTTGTAGACATCATGGCCGTCGACACGGATGAACTCGTCGTCGAGGTTGCGGCGGAGTGGGCGTGGCCTTCCTTGCGAGTCGAGTTGTTCTTGATTATGAGTAGCCTCAGCTAGCTCAATGGCGGCCTCATTTGCTCGGCGCTGCACACGGTTGGCATTCCTTTTAACACGAGCGGTGCGGTCATTGTCGGTTTCTCCATCCCGTGGAGGTCTGTCGACGCTAATGTTAAGAATCCCACCTCCTTGGAAGGGTGGGAAAGGAGATTGGACGGCGACGGTTTCGGTGACAGACTCCATGGAGCCCTGGGACTCAGAGTCTGGATTTTCCTCTAGGATGGTTTGGAGGGATGCTTCGGGGCGTCGGCCGATCTGCAGCATGTTGATAGCCGACAAGAGCTGGTTGGCGATCTGGTCGGCGAGAGGATAGATGTCTCCCACCTGGTTGGCGAATTTGCCCCTTAGGGCATCTTGATAGGTGGCGGCGATGCTGACGAGCCCAAAGGGTAAGGCCGTAACCCCTAGAGTTTCCTGATTAGCCTTCGATAGATCTGAATCGGAGAGTGGTCGACACTGATCCAGAGTGGTCAGAGCCGATTCTATGATGGAGAGGCAATCGGCGAGCTTCTGGCCAACCTGATCGATGGATGTGATCAGATCATCGTTGTTGATCTGCTTCCTCGAGTAGTGGGGGAGTAGACGGCGGGTTGTTGGTGAAGATGACCTCAGAGGTGGTTCTGAGATTGGATCTGCTATCGCAGGTGCTGGGGTGGTCGGCGCAGAATCGATCTGCACCGGCTGGATGAGCTCTTTGTCTCCATCAGCGTTGATGACCCAGAAGATCGATCCGACCGTAAAGATCTGGCTGGGCTGTGGAAGGACGAAGAGCCTACAAAACGTACCATCTTGTTCGACATGGCGCTCCAACTGTCGACATAATATCATCGGCAGTCCTCCGAGGGGTATCTCATGAAGGTAGATTGATCGACAGAGATGCGTGTAATCGAGAACAAGAAGGCAACAGAGACACAAGAGTTAAACAGGTTCAGGACGTCAGCGCGATGTAATACCCTACTGCTATGGCCTGTTGGATTGTATTGGCTTCGTATGATATTGCATGTGTTCTGAGGGGATCCCTGCCCACCTTATATAGTCTGGGGGCAGGGTTACAAGTCGGTTAGATCTAGGAGATAACCAAAAAGTAATAACATATTACAGGAATCATGGGATCAAACATATCCTAACAGATCTCGTAGTATCTTTAGGATATCTTTTCGGTGTCTTGCGGGGCGCGCCGAGCAGCGCCGTGCTCCTCAAGGCTTTGTCTTGTGGGCTGGACCACCCCTGGGGGCGCAGCCCATGTAGTCTACCGTGGGTATCCGGGGTCGTACCCCCCACAGAGTGGGAGGGGCAAGCGGCGATAGCGGGCGCAGCTCTAGGCGGAGGCAGCGGCACCGGCGAGCAGAAGCCTGGCTCTAGGAGCCCGACGAGATCTAGGCGGGCGCATCGGCGAGCTCTAGGTAGGCTCCTAGTGAGCTCTGGGCTGGCGCACCGGCTTGCTCCCGCCAAGCTTAGGACAGACGCACCCGGCTCCAGGAGGAAAAAACACACGAGATGAGTGAAAGAGACGCTGACGTGTCGGCTCCGCGTGCCAGGGACCTCAACCCACCTTTTGTTCTCCTCCAACTAAATAGAAAATGAGGGGGCAACCCCAACCCAGTAACCAAACACAAAATGGAATGAATCCAACCCAAAAAAAACTAGAATAGAGTCAACTCAACCCACATAGTCGCAGAACCAAACACATGCCTAGTGCTTCACACCAAGGCCCATGAACGTGGTCTTGGCCAAATCTCGATGGAAGTTCTCGAGGCATGGTGGCATGGTTGGAAACCTCATATTCTAGTGAAGATAATCTATTCCATGTACTATGAGAATTCTATACACAGTCATTGAAATTTAAAACAAAACTCTATGCCATCATAGGATGATACGAAGTTCCCCATGTATATGTTTTGCCTCTAGAGAATACTTTGATGGATTCTTATAATGATACCCCATCTCTCTCCCTCTCATTTACTTTTAGACTAAAACCAAGAGGAATTCATAATTGAAAAAACTTGTTAGTTGAGAATATTTTGTGATATAGCTACTTTATGTTCTAGATTTTGAATAAAGAGCTTGCTGGCTGTTATTACTTACTATTTGCTAATAACTTATCATTTGCCACAACATGGATTTCAATGCAAGATTATTGTCTTACCGCTTGTTATTGGTGCTTTACTAACTTAATTCTTGACAAGCATATAATTTTCTTGACAAATTTTACACGGAGGTAAATCCAGTTGAGTTTTACATGCATAGATTTATATACTTAAGTTTGTTATACTCATAAATATGTATACTTGATTTGTTACATGCATAAATATGTATATTTGATTATTTTTACATATATATATATATATATATATATATACTAAAATAATTGGTTTTTATACTTGCATAATAAATATGTATAAATGCTAGAATAAATGGTTTTACATCAATAAATATGCATATTTTGGTAATGTTGTGTAAAACCGTTTTAATCCGTTTCAACAATGCAAACAAAAGTGACAACAAGTTCATTTTTTTGCGATGACTTTAGTCAAAACTAAGTTCCCTTCGCAAAAGAAAAGAAAACTAAGCTATTGTGTACGAGCCAAATTCAATGAGCGGGATATCTTTTTCGAAGTGGATAAAGACGGTACAATCTAGAGTTTCATTTCTTTTAGAAACGTAGGCTAGACAAATAGAATAGTGTTTGGACTATTTGTATATAAGTTTTGAACTTAATTATTGAATTTAAGAGCTATTGTGTTACTAGGAACATGGAGGTGTGAGAGATTAAACAGCCAAGGTGTTCAAGTATCATTTAACACCCCGGAGGACCGCTGCCCGTTTCACACCAACAATGTAAAAATCCTGTAATACTTAAAGAAATGGACACAAGCGTAGAGTCTCGACCACCAAAAATTGCAGACCCTTCACCATCTGCAACCTTAAAATCCCAAACATCCACCAACTTACAACCATAAAACATTGATCACCTTAATTTCTGGAGCTTAGCTGTTTGCCAAGGCTAGTCTCAATGGAAATTTAATGTGAGTTTCATTTGCATTTAATATTTTAACACGTCAGCATTAGATTTGATGACTTGGTTCGTTAATTATGAAGAGAGATAGAGAGAGTTTTATAGAGTTTTATCGGGATCAAACCCATTGTCACAGTTACCAACACAAAATGTGACGTGGTGGTCTTGGTAAAAATGTCACGAAACTCTCTACTGACCTTAATTTTCTCCTATCGGAGATACCGCATGAGCGCTGCAATGGTGGTGTGGATCCTTTTTTATTCGACCAGACTTCTCTTACAAACATTGTAAAGATTTGACACTATGATCAAAGTATTTCAATATTTGTTAAGGGACAACATGACATTCAAATTACAGAATATATACAACTTAACTATACTAAAATATACACCACAACCTCAATCCTATGAAGACTATAACCAAAGTTCAGACAAGCATAAACACCACATATTCCACAACAAAAAAAGAGAGTGACATCTATAAATCCATTATACTACTTACGCAACAACACTGAATGCTTGTGCTCCCTTGGCAACCTTAATAAAGACATCCTCCAAGGTGGTGTCAACCAGGCCCCAAGCATATATGCTGAACCGGCGTTTTGCACTCTCGACGGCATGGAATACATCTGCGATCTTCAAGTCCTGCTTTGGCAGCTCAAATTTCTGGGTTCCTGAAATATGGTATATCCTGCTCGCATTTGGTGATAAGCGGTGAACAAGCTGTTCAACCTCCTGCTCATTTTCCGAAGATGTTGTCATTGTGAGTACATAGGTGCCGCCATATCTAGCTTTCAGCTAAAAAACAATTCATGGCAAACATTTGCAAGGTGTTCAATAAACAGCTACGCAAAAATGTACATGTCTGCTGCATAGTGATAAATAGGTAAGTTACCTCTTTTGGGTTACCAAGGCACTGGAATCCACCATCGACAAAAATGCCAAGTCTATCACATAGTACTTCTGCCTCCTCCATTGAGTGAGCTGTCAAAAATTACTTCTTCAGTTGGCATTATTGTGTCTACAGAAGCAATAAACAGAGTATAAGGAGAGCTCAGTACTCGTAAGAATGATAGCACGGTTTCTCTTTGCCTCCTTCACAACACTCCACAAATTGTTTCTTGATGCTGGATCTAGTCCGGTGCTTGGCTCGTCCATGAAAACCACCTAAAGGTATCAAATTATGAGATGCACACGCCAATGTGTATTCTGCACTAAAACACATAAACAGAAGTGAGGGGTACTTTGGGATCCCCAATTAATGAAATCGCAACACTAAGCCTTCGTTTCATGCCCCCACTGTACTTTCCCACTTGCTTTTCACCAACGCCACCATGAAACAGATTAACACTCTTCAGAGAGTCATCAACAGCCTGCAGTACAGAATATTGTAAGCTCAGTATAGATGTATACATGTCATATTGACATGTGGATTTCTGCTGCAACATAGAATCAACAAACATAGCATAAGTCACCTCAGACTATTTCTCAGTGAAGGTAAATAGGAACTAATATTAAAACATGCCAATTACAGAACTATACCTTCAATAATTCAGTGCCTTTAAGATTCTTCAGTCTCCCATAAAACAATAGATGCTCTCTTCCTGTTAATGTTTCCCAAAGTAAGCTGCATAAAAGTGAAAGGGAATGAGATCTGATGGCACTAGAATGCAACGGTAATCGGCAGAAATGGGTTTAAGATAGAACATATAAATTTTAGAGCAAGGGCACACTCATGCTGTGGGCATACACCCATGTTAGAATAGATTGCATCCATGTCAGTCTTTATATCCAGTCCATGTACATAGGCAGTGCCAGATGTTGGTGGAATAAGCCCAATCATCTGCAGGGAAAATATATTGCTGAGGAGTGCATAATATCACCTAAAGTTTGTCAAAAAAATCAAAGTAATAGGCTATGTTGATGTACCATACTGATGAAGGATGTTTTCCCAGCTCCATTCGGGCCAAGCATTCCAAAACACTGGCCTTTTGGTATGGCAAGAGACAACCCTCGGACAGCAAGTTTGTCAGGGTTTCCATCTTTTCCATGGTAAACCTTTTTGAGGTTATCAGAGAGGATCGCTTGGTTTGCAATGGGTTCCAGCAGAAGTTGCTCAACCACCTCTCTCTGAACATAATTTAGAAAATAAGAAATACAGAAAGTATCATTGAGAGATAATGTAAGAGAGTAACTTACTTCTTGAACAGCATCAGGATTGTCCATTTCAACGACTACTTTAGATCCTTGTCTCCCAAAGCTATATCTCGGCAATGAAAGAGCACGCTTCTTAAAGCAGCTCAAGAAGAAAAAGGGATTTTTCCTGAATCCACCACCCAGCGACGAGACTTGATCCACATAGAATGCCAAGGGGAGAAGTATTGCCCACTCCACAACCATAATAATCAAGACACCACGCATTCCATTAAGAGAGTCATCTAGATTACTCCATTTCATACCAGTGGTCCCCATTGAGTTTCCAGCAGATGCGTATTGACCAAACTCGTATAATCCTCGGAACAATGAAAATCCAGGGATGATCTCCATTACAACTATCCAACCCTCTTTGTACATAAACAAAGATATCGTCATGCATAAAACCTAAAGAGAGTTGTCCAATACTCAAATAGTAGTAATAAATGATGGAACCTTACTTGGAAAACCAGTATCCTCAACAAAAAAGCGAAGAAGAAATTCCCCTAGTAAGCCAGAGCCAAATACATAGATGTAACCAACCACTGCAGCACAATGATTTTCAAAAGAGTCAATCAGATCATTGGTTTTAAGCACCATAGGATTTCTTCAGAAGATAAATATGCCCAGCACAAACCTGTGGCTATTTTGACAGCAGAAAAGAAGGAAGCTACAAAAAATGCAAGTGAAATCTGCAGGTTTATGTAGATGAAGTAGAAGACAAATTGAAGGCTATAGTCATTTTTCCTAAAGAAATCTAGACCTGCATAGAGGAAAGTTGAATTCAATTTACATACTTCATTTGCAGCATTAACTTTGAATAAATTTCGAGTTAATTACCGATCAAGGAGCCAAAAATCACAAACAGTATCATGTAGATAGCCGACAGGGCAAAGAAGTAAACATAGGAGATTAGCCAGTAAGGACCATCCTTCAGACCATGCATTTTCATCATAATTTTCAGCTTCTGTTGCTTCTCGTACACGAGATATGTTAATATGACCTGCAAATTGACTTAATATTTGATCCATTTTTACCTCTTTCCTTAAGAAAAGGTCATATCTTGCACTCACTGGAAATAGTAGTTCAATGATCCATGTGAAGAACAGTGCACCAAGAAGAGAAGAGAGGTCAAATTTCAGCTTTGTTCCTACTTTGGGCATCTCTTTAACATATTGAAGCAACATTTCCACTCCACTTCCTCTGAGAAATTTAATGTACTCGTTTGATGCCTATAGGTAAGATAACAAGTGTTAGAGGTAGTTGCATACAGATGAATATCAGTAACATGAAGCTGTGCTGTAGTACAAACTCACCGCATTAACCAAGCGTGGAACTCGTAGTAATGAAATAGGTACGTAAGCGGTGTTGTTGTTATAGGTAGAGTTGTACCAAATATTCATTTCAAGACCATTCATATTTGTGTTCAGAAAATCAAAACCTGGACAGAAGCAAGTTATACACATAAGAAAATTGAAAGCAATGGATGCTTCATCTAGCGCATACCAAATCAAGCCAGCCGGGTATCATAGGAGACAGGGGAAAAAGCACTTTCAAATGATGAAAAAGAGAAACATTTCGTTGAAGTCTGATCAGAAGAGGAGATCACCTGCAACAAATTCATTCGTCTTTCCGCCTCCACTACCTCCACCATTTTGTCTGTAACCCTTAAAGAGTTCATCATTTACAGCTGATGCACTTTCACGCCATAGTGGCAAACCCTGAACGCAGTCTATGTCTAAACATTTGAAAGAGAAAATAATCAGAAATATAAACTATATCAAGTCTAGAAAGCAATAGGTACAAAAAAAAGTTGATATCCTTGTATATAGCAAAAGAGTTCAACAATAATAGAAAAAAACCTGTCTAGGAAAACAAAATTTAATATCTACCCAGTCATAGAGGGTTAGTACATTGCAGCATTTGATGACACTTGGACAACTGATCAGTTGGTCCTTTTGTGAATAGTGAGAACAGAACCAGAACCAACAAATAGATATATAAAGAGTCGAAATTGCCAGGGCAAACTGTATAGTTATGGTACAATGTTCTCAGGAAGTGAATTCATGAGCTTACAAAAGTGAGGCACAAACTTTATTTCCTACTATTGTCCTGTAGACAATCTTGACGAAGTCCTCAGTTGTGTCTTTCCTATATTCTTATCCATACATCCTTAGCGAGGAGTGACCAAGGTAGGAAATGCTACTTACTGAGCTGAAGGGGTATGGCCGCGGCATTGGTTGAAACTGTCTGCGTTAGATTGGACAAACACCGAGATTGCAGCAGATACAAGTTATTCCTTGGGATAAACGCTGACTCTATTAACTCTGTTGTCCACGGCCACGTGTCTGATCCCTAAAGAGAACCAATCCAACCAAGAACTCCATCCATTACCAACAAGAGGAAAATGAACATATATAATACAACAAAGATCAAACTACATATTCAAGCCTTCAAGGCCTGCAGTTATGCTGGCAGGAACTCACTGCAACGATTTTGGAGAATGCATCCAGATAATCCGTCAAATTCAAGGAGGAAGTCGAAGCAGGAAACAGTCCACCCGAAAGGCCTGTCAGTTGAAACACGAACACAGCAACAGCACGCGTATTACGAACAACAAATCGTCACGTAACTGACTTGTATAGCATGGAAGCTCTTGCTACCATGACATTGACATGGAATGGAAGGGGTAGAAAATATACTTTGAGCTAGCGAGCGGTTGTTGCCGGTGATGAGGACGGCCGCGGGGCAGGAGCCGGTGTCCCGGCAGGTCGGGTCAGGCAACCCGTCGAACGGCTGGCCCGCGGTCCTGACGGCGCGTGACTCGGGCCGCGGCACCTGCACCAGCGCCGGCCACGGGGTCGGGCTGGGGATCGGGCAGCTGCCGACCTGGTCCAGGGTGGAGAACTGGACGCCGCACTCCGTCCGGCGGCACGCGTCCCCGATCGCGGCCGGGCCCGGGTCGACGCAGGCGCAGCCGCAGCGGTACTTGGGCTTGTCGAGCTCACGGTCGATGACGCCCTGGAGCACCACGAGGATGACGCAGAGGAGCACCGGGAAGAGCGTGATGCCAATGTTGGTCTTCAGGTTCCGCTTCTAAACACATCGCACAGCCAAGAAGAAGACGATCATCGGGTGCTCTTTGGATTCTTGCATTGCAGCAAAGGCATAAACAATCTAACTTCATCGGGAGACAGCACAGAGCAAGAGGAAACAGGGGAGGGAGGCGGACCTGGAAGCAGAGGTTCTTGCGGAGGAGGGCGTTGGCCTGTGTGAGGAAGCTCGCGGAGCCCCTCGTGGGGGCCGGGGCGTCCATCGGCGAGCGAGCAGGCAGAGGAGCTGTGGCTGCCGCCTGCTGGACGGGTTGGTTCGGTGGAGAAGACGAGTCAATTCAGCGAGCAGGAATGGTGTTCCGATTTTATAGCGTACTCTGGAGCCGTTGGCTCCCGCAATTCCGCCACACGCCGTCCGTCCGTCACCGTGGGTCCGTGGCCGTTTCTGATGGGAGTCCTCAAAATAACGAGGACTGGGAGGGCTTAACTGAAACCTCAAAAAGATGCGATTAAACCATCTTGGCAGGGTTAAATGGCAAAAGGTTCCTGTTTGCTACTTTGCTTCTCTCGCTCTCGCCTCAATGCAGTTTCTTTGTTCGTCCGGTTGACTTCTCAGGGTAACTGAAACTGCACCCGTGAAGACTGGTCAGAGGCCACGTGGGCCCACCCAACAGATAGGCTTGGCTGTCCATGTCGTCCGTACATGTACTTCCATGGAGATTAAAATGTCAACTTACCTCTTCCAAAGAACTATCAGATACTACGATTGGTACGGTTAGCTTATGTGACACGGTTTCAATTCCGTGATGATTCATACGGCTAGCGTTCGGACGTTCAGACGGGGCTAGCGGCTGGACGCCCGTGGCGTACGCCTGCTTCACATGGGGTCCCGCATCGCTCCATATCCCGTGCTCGCTCCGTGTCACACGCTTGCTCCGTTTCGATCTGCACCCGCACGGTTTCCCGCGTGTTGTTCACGCCCCGTCCACAACCACGCGCATGCAGGCGGGCCCAGCAGCTGCAGCAAGCTGCTGCAGATGGGGTCCACTATAACATGTGCAACACTAGATCTACTTTTTACAACATCTAGAGGAAATATTTGCAACATACGTCCGAAATGGTTGAAACACTTGCAACATACTTCTAAAACAAGAGGGAAACACGTGTGTAGCCGCTGCAAAACATATACAACATCTAGATGAAAACACTTACAACATATGTGTGAAATCATATGCAACATCGGGAAGAAACACTTACAACATAAATATGAAACAAATGCAACACCCTGATAAAACACGTGCAACATCCGTCCGAAACAGCTGAAACACTTAGAATAGACACTTGCAACATACGTGTATAGCCATTGCAATATATGCAACATCCTAATATACTTTTGCAACATCCACATAAAACACTCGCAACATGCATTTGAAACATCTGAAACACTTGAAAAATACGCTTGCAACATCGAAGGAATTAAGGAAGGAAGCGCGAGGTGTAGCCGAAGAAGCCCACTCCAGGTCTGGCCACTTTGGATCTCGTGATGTTGCGAGCTGAGGTCTAGCGTTGCGGCGGCGCCAGCGTCGACAGCGGCCACGATCTCCTGGTGGGGAACGACGGCGTCGGTAGCACCTCGGCACGGCGAGAGACGGGGCATGGCACGTAGGGGCAGGGACCGGGCATGACGCGACGAGGCGGAGTGGGTGTGGCAAGGGATGGAGCATGGTGAGGCGGCTTGGGTGGGCGGATGGCGCGCTGAGCCGCGATGAGTTGTGCATTTATGTCGGCTGTTGCAGTGTAGATGGAGTAGATAGAGGACAAAGCATAGATTGGCCTGTTGGGCCAGTTGCTGTGCTAGAGCAAGCGCGGAGCAGAGCTTTCGATTTTTTTAAGATTCTGGACGTATGTTCTGTAGCATTAACATTTGGCCCTGGCGTCTTAATATTAGTACTGCTTAGCTTTCAATTTTCCTCTGACCATCAAATTTAATGTGAATAACTCGTCGTCCTATCTTTGAAACAAGGGGCGCTTCCGGTTCTATGCGTGCTTCAAACAATTTTGTCTTGTCCATATTACCATATCTATAGAGGATTTAGAGTTTGAGATCACAATTGCCCAAAAATGACCAAACCCTCCGACTACCTCGTGCCATATATACTATTTCCCTCTTCGTTTACATGTCTGGTCGCCCGAATTTAAAGCATAAATGTTGGAATGTGGTGTGTTCATGCACATTGTTACTGAAATGTTTAGGTCCACTAACGAATGCACAATATGTTATTAAGTTTGCATGATCAGCAGTAAACCCTAAGTTAACCTAGGAATTGGCGTCGTCCCATAGAGGCAATAAATAAGAGGATTACCTCTAAAAGCGTTCAAGACTCCCTCTAAAAAAGACTCCATGGAATGTAGCTATAACCAATCAATAGTGCTCTAGTGGATTGGAAGCATGATTTCTCATCTAGGGCAAAAGGAGACGCCCTTGAGGACAACTCCACAAAGGGACAAGATCCCTAGCTCTCTGATTGGTTTAGGTTAGTTCATCCGCTACATCTACATCAACATTTATGGCACTAATGGCACCTGCAATCTCTAGTTGGTAATGCACTAAGTTTTTCGCATTTAATCAGTGTTAGTGATAACATGTTCAAGGCCAAAGGAGATATTGTTTATGAGCTAAACATTATGTGATCATTAGGTCAGATTCGATAGGTGTGTCTCCCAACTTAAAGGGCTTGCCTAGATTTGTAATTTAGATTAATGGTTGCAAATGAAAATTTGTTAAATTCATTGGAGCACTCACTTAGGGTATGAGCCCCCCTCCCCCTTCCTTTTGCAATATGATGGTTAAAAAAGCAACTTGTATTATAAATATCCTACTTATTATAATTAAGACTATATGTTTCATTAATCACAAGGAAGTTCTTTGTTTTTTTTCTCTCATGTATAAAAATATGTCTTGCCTGGTATGATCAGAAAAGAGTATGCGAAAACTTTGATACAATTTGTTAGTTACCACATATATAATATGTATAACTAAATACAAGCACAATAATGTTATCAGTAAATATATTTTACCAAAACAATGAATTTCCCTAGTTGCTTCTTCAGAATGGAACCATGCAATTTAGTCGTGGAATCTTTGATTTGCATGAAGAAAATGAGAACAAAATATAGATAAAGTGATCAAATCCAATTAACCAAAGGAAATTGATCAGAGTCAAATAATCTGTAACACATAAAGAGGCATGCTGCGTCGCGTTAGGTGCCTGGTTTATAGTTTGCCAACTGATCTCTCTGGCTCTTCATGGAGTACTATAAACACTGGAATGAAAGTCCACACGTACTGGTGGATTAGTCAATCCTCTATACATCATTTCTTGGTCCATAAGGCATGGTTGACCGTTTACGAGCTCCAAACATGTAAACAGCGGTCCTAATATAAAACATGTACAATATACAGTAGTATTTGCTTCCCGCTGAAGTTAAACGATACATACGATAATGATTGATTAATAGTCAAACACAGGATTTAGACGTTATGCGCCCGCTGAAGCTAGGCCTGGAAGAAGCTGCCTGCGACGCTCTCTGCACTGCCGTGAATGAATGACGTGGTATATATACCGGTATACGTACTTGACCTCGAACTGTTTGCAAACCTGTGGGATTTGACTATTATCACTTGTTTGGATTCATGCGTATGGTCAGAGCGCGCGTAAGTGATGAATTTCTGGGGAGGTTCAGCTGGTAACATATTGCGTGCGTATACGTGTTGTTGTCAATAAGTCAATCTGGACTTTTCCTTACAGTGTGTCGTCTGCAATGCAAACTACTATTACTAGGTAATGACATGGGATGAAATGGAGTTCGACGAAAATAAAAGCCTCTGTTTACCGGAGCGGCCGAGGTGATCTACCGTCACTCCCTTAGCAGTTAGCACACTTAATGTACTCCAAAAAAATACCCTATCCGGGTTTAAGTCCTCGGCTCAGCACGGGTGTTCATATTTTTCTGGATTTATTCTAGTAAATTAACGACGCTATGCTTTTAGTGGTAGGCGGCGTTCCCGTCGACAGCGAGACGCCAGTGGTGACTTCATTAATTTCAAGATATGCCGTCTCAGTCCTTCGAAGGTGCTTATGTAGGGTTTGCGTACGTGTGTCATAGGGGTGAGTGCGCATGCGTGTTGTGGGCCTATACATTATGCTGTGTAATTCTAAAAAAAAAGCAAATCCTGCAGAAAGCTAATATTAATTAGGCACAGCAATGCAAGTTGTTGGGTAGAGTATTCATGTTCGAGCAATGTGAGGAACCTTCGCATTGGAATTCCTCACTTTGTTTGTTTAAGAGCCAAAAGAATGACGTTCCGCATCTAACCAGCCGTGGTTTCATCTCCAAGAAGCATCCGGTACCAAGATGGCAAGATTTGACCTTGCTGATACAAACCCTCATTCAGACAAAGAGCAACTTGGAAGGGCTCTGTCCTATCAAATCTACCTCGCGATGTGCGACAAGAAGCAGTGATCGATCCAGAACATGCATCTAGTCAATGACATCATTTAATTGCTCACATATGCACATATGTATAAATAATAACGAGTGATAATGCAGGACATTCTTGTAGCAGCAACTTAACCAGTCGTCACCAAATTGATAACGAACCCGTGGTCTGATGTCCTTATAGGGACAAGCTTATTTTTGTTCTTGATCACATAGTTTAGCTTGATGTCAGGCGGCTGCTGAGGGTGTGCTCCAGACCTTGGGCTAGCTCAACGTGCGGGTTGGACGATGCATGCACAGATTAGTGTTCGTTTGCTAGAGATCTAGATTCTCGTAAAAATGTTTCGGGTTCAGGATCTAAAGAAATGTTTCAGATGATGAATTAGAATCACTTCGTGAGATCGTTGGTAGTCTGGATTCTAATTCATAAAACAAATATTTTTTCATAAAAAATCATATAAATAAAATATTTTTCAAAAAAATCAAACCTTTTTATGGGTAAAGAATAATTTAAATACAATTTAGTTTAACTTATTCCACTTTAAAAGGATAAGAGGGGAAAAATGGCAGTTAGTGCAAAGGAGAGGCCAGAAACCAATAGGACGAAACTACACCGAGGCTGCTTCGCGTGGACAGTATAAAAAAACGAGAATCGTCTCTCAGGTTTCTTGATCGAAACACTACCACTCATCTCCGTTTGGCTCAGATTCATAGGTTTCGTAGCAAAATCGGAACGGTTTTTTTCGGGACCAATACTTGTACT